CCCAGCATCTAGTCACTTCGTCTTAACCGATTACGTAATCCTTCGATTAAACCCCTCCCCAACCTTTTTTGCTTTAGTTTCACTCAGTACTATGTAATTGGTACAATCATCATGTCGAGTCACCTGACAACTCCAGTAGGTCGAATAAAGTAGCTCAACCTTCAGAAGGAAGACAGAGCAATAATTCTGACAGGGTGCTTCTACTAAACTCTAATCCTAAACACCATAATTTTGAAAATACGTCTAATCATAAAATTCTAGATACTAACAGTTTGAACGGACATGAAGGCGTGATGTTAGCTGATGCATAGGAAATCCTTATTAATAAATAAATAAAAATGGATATGTATCACTAATTATTAATATTTGGTCAAAATTCTCGACTGTCCATATCTTCTTATGGAGATGTTAAGAAATGTTTTACAACTGTTTACCCACACACACATACACACTGTATCTCCCAGAATCCAGTTCACTTCGGAAGCAGAATCAGACATCGGTGAACTACCATTTCTAGATTGCCTAGTTAAGAGAAAGGAAAACAGACATTTTAGTATATCCATATTCAGGAAGAAAACCCACTCAAATAAATATTTAGACTTGAAGTCATCACACCCCATCAGCGCAAAGATTTCAGTTGTTTCAAGTCTTCTTAGACGAGCACACTCTCTGATAACCGACGAGAAAGAAAAAGAAATATCAAACATTACTGAAACTCTCAAGCAAAACAACTACCCATGGAACTTCATCAACAAAATCAACACAGACATTAAGTATGGCCGAAAACGCATTCCGAAAACATGGACATCCAAAGTCGTCATTCCATATAGAGCAGAGACGTCAGACGATATCAGAAGAGTACTCAATCAGCTCGATATTAGAGTTTTCTTCAAAACATCAGATACACTTCAAAGCAACCTTGTCCACATAAAAGACCAAATCCCTATAGATTCTCTATCTAATTGTGTCTATAAAATAAAATGCTTGGAATATGATGCGATATACATCGGACAAACATTATGAGAAATCAAAATCAGAAGAAATGAACACCATATAGCATCTCTTCGACCACCGAGAAATCCCGTTGAACTACAAAAACTTGAAAAATCATCAACCATAGGGCGTCTACAGAGTATAGAATCAGGCGACGAAATTGATTTTGACAATATTGAAATAATCCAGAAAAAATTCAGAAATCACAAAGAACGTCTAATATCAGAAGCACTTCATATCAAGTGGAATCCAAATTGCCTGAATAGGAATGATGGACTAAAACAGAATCTGACCTGGTTACAACACCTCTCTCCCCCATGAAGTGACAAAATCAACACGAATGTGATATGCAAGATCACACACTGCCTTTATAATTTCACAAACTGATCAAATCCAACAATCTACACTTGGTTTTGTTATCTTTACCAATTGACCAACTTGACAACGAAAAATGACCCCAGAGAGACGAACGATGATCAAGTTAGTAAACTTTATTTTGATATATCATAACAGACGTACTATTATTTGGTTTAGTGATCTTCATTGTTATTTTGACTTTCATTATGTCCTTTTAACTTGACCTCAGTGTATTTTCTCACCTTTTAGCTCTTTGTTATATATATGCTGAGATTTTGTAAATTCCGGTTTAATAATACTTTGATAAAGCTATTAGCAGCATTAAATAGCGAGACGTCAGTAAAAACAATATCGTTTTGCTTTTCATTCATTGGGAAATACAAAAACCTTTATTATAATGAACATACACATTCTGTTTAAAGTGTTTAACAAAGGTAGACCAATATTTGTAAGTCCGAGGTCAAATTTTGATCACAGTTCATATGATTTTGTTTATCATACTTGTTGATACTTGTTTTATGACTCATGATTGGACAAAGTTTTTAAAAACAAAAGATGTGCCTTTTATATATAAGCCTCTGTTATGTTAATTTTGATTAATTTCCCTGAAGAAGTTCGGACCAGATTGCCGAACAAAGCGTTGGAATTAATCATTTCAATCTCGCTGAGATTTTACAAATGTTCTTTCGGCTTATCTTCAATATACAATTGAGTTTTCAATGCATCCGACATGTTCGTATTTCGTTTGAATCTTAACCTCTCCCTTCATACGTTATTTAATAGGTGGAACTTCTGAACATTATCTATCAATTTGTGTCTCTGTGAACAAAAATCATGTTCGACTTTTGCAAGTACGACAGAATTCTATGTACATTTATACAATCAACATTTTAGGTAGTAAGCAACTGAAGAGAATCCGACGAGGAAATAAATGATGGCCTCATTTATTGTTCTGCACGAACATTTGTTGTTTTTGGCTTTGTTTAAATCCATAAACGGGAATAAATGCATAAAGAAACTAAATTGGTTTGCTCTGTGTGTTTAACAGAATTAGAAGTGAAAAACACCTATAATTCTTCGATCTGATCATCACTGCTCGAATAGGATTTCGCACAGATGTGCGGCAGTTCAAGTTACCACACTCTCTCCGTTTAGCATACATGGCAAGAGAATAGAGAGATTTAACAAGTGAGCGAGATAACAAACAGAAATATGAGGGAAAAAGAATAGTAATACGCAAGAACGACAAAGCCTTATTGAATACGACAAATCACAGAGAATGAATGTATCTGCGCCAGCCAATGAGAACGATTTTGAGTATTGGTTTCTAGGGATTTCGTTGATTGGTTACAGGATTTCATCATGATCTGACATTGGTTCTTATAATCCTGAGAACTCCAACCAAGCCAGGAAGTCTACACCTCCCTCCATGGCTGGCTTAAACTAAATGTTGTGGATTTCATTGACTGATCAAGCCATGTTTTCGTTTGACCACCACTGGCTAGCTCTTTTCCAATCTGATCCATCCTATGTCAGCTAACATTGACCGTTGAAGAAGGCGATGGATTGTGAGGCATGCGTAACACATAATTTCCTAACCATCTCAATTAATACAGCTGCTTCGCCACCTCGTCGATTGATTTTCCCTCCTTAACTAGACCTCGACGTCTAACTTCAATATTGCTCACCCTATTATACCACTTCACTCGGGAGATAGAACGCAGGCACCTACGATCAAAGACAGCTACCGGTCTTTACATTCATGTCTTCCACTTTCGATGACCATGTCTCACTCACAGCCATAAAGAAGGACGGAACGAACTGTTCCTGTGCAGTACACAGGCCCTTTGATAGATAGTCAGTCGGATATCAAGTCTGATAAGCCAGAGATAGAGTAAGTTGGTTGGTAAATGCCAAACAAGTCTTCTGTGTCCGTGCTGTGATTTCGTCAGCCATCAACCCACTAGGGCTGATGCATCTTCCCAAATAAGTCAATTGGGTGATTAACACGCTCTACCACTTCACTTTCTTCTTATCTTTAAGCTAGGAATCGATGTAGTTCAATCCAGTCCTATAGCATCATCTTGCATCCAATAGGAGCGAATCGCATGTCAAATATTCGAAAGTTTGTGCTCCTCTCAAGGTGTTCAGAAGACTTTGTTCTACTTTGTCAGCGTCTTCATCTAGAAGCAGGAATATATCATCTGCGTCGGTGGCAAAGTGGTTAGGACTCTCGCCGACCATGCACATCGTCCGGGGTTCGATCCCCTGCCGGCGCACACCCGATATCTATGGTCGGCCTGAATTTGGGCTACCGATATCCATGCTGAAAATTCCACACTTTACTGAAAATACGGTGTGGAATCAAGCTGTGAATCAAAAAAAATCTGTATATTCTAAGTCAGCGAGGCTATTGTCCCCTGGTAACAAGTCAATCCCTGAGTCGCTGAAGTCAGCAGTTAGGGTTATAAAACACAAAATAATCGAGCAAAGAATATTCTTTTCGATAAATTCCTGTTTATATACATAGAATATTCTAAATTAGTAGTCAATAACAATATTAGCGTTTTTTAAATAACATCGATTTGTAAAGTATGGTCAATGCTATTACAGTTCATTAAAGATGCTTAAATTATAATAATAATAAAGATATAACAGTGAATAGAAAATCAACTAAAATTAGGGAAATTTCACAAAAATTCTGGATTATTCAAACCTGGATGGCCTAGGTAATGATAATGACTGAACTAACTTCTTTTGGGTGCATAAATTAGGCTTATTAATATGGATTCCCACAGCCTCAGCAATATTTAGAAGTCGAACTCTTAAAGCGAAATTGAGATTCGTAGGTATGCGGTAAACTACTCTGAAAGCATGGTTAACGTCAATCTTGTGTTCTGTATCCACAAGATGAGACAGAATAGCGCTGCGAATAGATTTTGTTTGACCTTTGCTTAACCAGGCAGGGTGATGTTAGGAAATTCGACGCGAAACACGCCTAATTGTACGGCCTATGTAACTAACTGGCTCCACAGGAGCAGTTAAATTGGTAGATACACATGGAAGAGGCGAAATTAGGCAGTTTGTCTTTTATTCCCGAACGCAGAAGAGGAGTGGTTTTGAAGATACAGCGTAATTGAGCAGCAGGGAATGCTCTTTTTACCGCATTTCTAAGGCGATGTATTAGTATCTCACTTGTGTTGTCTCCTAGGAACTGCATCTGTAAGAACAAGGCCTTTTTTGGAACTGTTGGTAACTTCGGCTGTTTTGGTTTCAGATTCAGATTTTTATCAATAAACTTTTCGGGATAACCATTCTCACTGAGCAACCGTTTAATATTGTTAAGCTCCTCGTCAAAACATTCATCCGAGCAAATCTCTCTTGCTCTGTGGACCAAGCACTTTATTAGATTGCGTTTGCATTTCAAGGTCCATTAGTACATCTACGATGAAATTAAACAGAAATTGGAACGGAGAGTGGACATCCCTAATGAACACCACTGGTTGTCATCACTTCAGGTAACAACTCTCTGTAAGCTCTTACCTGGCTGCATGAGTTGAGTTCGAGTAGACTGATCTGATCACTTGATTCAATCATACATCTACCTACACTACATTGACAAAAAGAAGCCACCGTGACAGTTAAATTACGACTATTTTTTTATTAAATAGTTGTGGTACATGCACATGAACACTCATCATATCACAACAAGAAATTTGAGAAGTACAACTGAAAATTTATTATGCAATCTTGTCTGTAACATTATTCTTGGAGAAGCTAGAAGAAAGCACCCCGAAGTAAAGGACTTCGAATAGAGGTCATAAAGGAATACGACAGATAAACATATGCACATATAGTTCAAAACATTCATTCAAACTAACTAACTACTAACTGTACAATAAGTCATACAATAATAAATTGACAGATGCACAGCAACCCAAATTGTTGATGAATAGTGCTGAGCACAGCTGGATTGAGTTGAATTGAGCAAATGCCAAAAAGGGAGGGGAGGAAACATTGAGGCAACGAAGTCAAGCGGGAAGGGAATTTTTACATCGATCACTTCAACTGGACAGATTTCTTTTTAAGCATTGCACGGATAGCACGAGCTCGCATTTCCAATTCAGTAATTTCTTGATGAACTAAATCCTACAGTATTGTTTAAAAGATAAATAATATACGGAGACGAAAATTAAACGCGTGTAAATAAAATAATCGAAAGCACATAAATACTCACAAATATTGGTTAGAGGATTTCATCATAAGCTGACATCAATTAGAGAACCATTGGAAAACCACCGTGGAGTAGTTAAAATCTGTTTTGTCAGCCTAGTTTGGAACTCTTCATCAGTAAGCACCCACCACAGGGGGTCCGAACCCAGGACCTTCTGGGTTACAAGGAGAGCTAGTTGGTAGACCATTAAGCAGCCACTAGGACCCGATCCTACGGAATTCTAACTTTTGTCAATTCATGAAATAGCGTGACCACTAACCAATGTCTTCTTCAATGACTTACTGCCTCACCTTCAACCTGCTGTATCACGACTTTCCACTAGAACCCCAGGTAACTGTCTGAATAGGGTCAGTCACTAGTGAGCATCAGATCAATTTTCAAGCATCAGTTTTATTTGATTGCTTGGGGGATTTCATTATAAACTGGTATCACTTAGAGAACCATTGGAAAACCTGCAGGGACTACTGGACAGCTGTTTCATCCTAGACTGGGACTCTTCAGAAGTGCACATCCACCGGGGCTCGAACCCAGGACCTTCTGGTTACAAGGCGAACTAGCTCTTAGACCATTAAGCCACTGGGACCGGATTTAATAGCCAGTCCATGAATTTCAACTTCAGCCAATCCACGACATAGTGCAACCACTAGCCAATGTCTTCCGCGAGTATTTGTCCTGACGCCTTGTAACCAGAAGGTTCCAACCCCGGCGGTGAATGCGTACTTCTGAAGAGTCCCGAACTAGGCTGACGAAACAGCTTTCCAATACTCCTAGCTGGTTTTCCAATGGTTCTCTAACCGATGTCAGCTCATGATGAAATCCTGTAACTAATAAATCAAATCCCTACAAATCAATACTTGAATTTATTTATTCATTTGTTTTTTATGAAGTTTCCTTGTATCATTATCGTATCTAGATGTTTATAATTGTATTTATCCTAAAGCAATAACTCCATGCTTATATGATTAACATGCACTTTGATAAACAACATTCTTTTCCTAATGACGTTAATAGATTACTAATCATCGCTTATAGATGCATATATTTCTTGGAACTGATGCTTATTTGTTATCACAATACTCATGTCAATGGACGTGAACATTGAACGTTTGTTTATTGGAACTGGCAGCCATTGGTGGGCAACTCGAAGGCGCGAATGGTTCGATCGTGTGCAAGTTTGACAAAGGCGGAAAGAACACGAATAAAAGTACTTTATAACTTCATTTGTACTAAACATTTGTTTGTAGACTTTGTATTTTGTCTCGCTTTAATTGCCAAACAATAAAAATTTCGTTCAAGGAATACTGGTGTTTTGGATTTAAAGTTGAAACAAATACTCAGTCATTATCGGTTCAAATCGCCGTTACAATAGGAACTTAGGGCTAAGTTCCTTGACAACTCATGTATTTGTATGTATTTTAGCCTTGAAACAAAATTTTCATGGGATACTGAGTTAGTTCTCAGTGGTTGAATGGTCTACAAGCTTTCCTTGTAACCAGAAAATCCTACGTTCAAACCCTGCTAGTAGGTGCGTACTGTTGAAGGGTCGTAAACTCGACGAAACAGTTGTCCAGTACACTTTGGTGATTTTCAGTGGTTCCTTAACTGATATCAATCAATCTACGGCCAAACTCGAAATTCATACAAATAACAATGTTCACAGAGTATTCAGTTGATGAGTGCTCCCACTGAAATTCATTAAATGGTGCTTTTTTCACAGTTGTAGATTGTTTTAAATGACAGAGGGGACAAAGTGAGGTGCAGTAGAGAGAGTTAACCAGAAAGAAATCCTAACCAGGAACAAATAGGCATAAAGGCAAGCATTTTACAAAATTATTTTTTTTAAAGGTAGAGAGTGTAAGATTGCAATGAATACCAAAGCAAACTGAAAGGTTCAGCGCACTGACTCACCTTTGTCTAGAAAAATAAAGCAGACAGACAGACAGACTGTGTGTTGAATGATTGATTACTCAGATATAAGTCAATATAGCATGTTTTGTAAATTAACATGAAGAATTGAACACATTTAAATATTTGCAATATACTATCAGCTACAACGGAGTAAACTGGAAATGGTGTCTAGATTGACATACGAACGTCAGTAGTTAAGGAAAACACAAGTTTACACAGTAGGAAAAACAATTGTCAAAACAGAAAGGCAGATGCCATTTAAATCATTATTTTTTGTATTCTCATGCCACTATTCTGGTAACTTTTCTGAACATGTAACACACATCATGCATGTTTATTAGAAGACATAATGGCGGCCTGCTTAAAATTCGGGTTACCAAAAACGTTCATCTCTATTTTTGATTGGACACTAGTGAGTAACTAATGCAATGTGTCTAATCCTATCTTCGGTGCAGACTGAATTCTATCAGTCAAGCTTGCAATGTGACCACCATGCCACTAGATGGCTCGCCATCACGGTGCACTGCACTGCGAATTGTTGGTATTAGATGGTTGGAGGCAATCAGCCACAGGAAGCCTCGGACCTAGGTTTCGTGCCAGTTGGCACTCTTCAACAGTAGTCACCCGTGACTCAAAAAGGCGTTGAATCCAGAACTTCCAAGTTACAAGACGAGCTTGTTGACTATCCAACCACTGGGATGGAACCCAATGAATCCCATGAATTCTAACTTCTGTCAACTAGCAATTTTTTAGCGCGACTACCAACTAATGCTAACGGTGAGTATTTGTCATCACACTCAATACATCAAATCTTAAGGAGCTAACCCTTAAAAATTAATCCAGTGCTCACTAGCGACTGATCAATAATAATAATAGGTGATTTAGGTACAAATATGGAACTTTCAGCATGTAATTTCCTTATTACACGGGTAATAATTAAAACAGGCCATTTACATTCATAAGACTGTTTAATATGAACATGAATATAGGACTAAATTAAATGAAAATATTAACAACAGCATAATAATGACGTGATATCCGGCTGGCTGTCTATCAAAGGACGTGCGTACTACCCAGCAGTTCTCTCTGTCCTCCTTTATGGCTGTGAGTGAGACAAAGTCATTGAAAGTGGAAGACATGAATGCAAAGGCCGGCTAGCTGTCCTTTCATCAAAGGTGTCTGCGTTCTATCTCCCATATTATGGTTGGGGTCCTCGGGACGGTAAAAACCAATGGTTGGAAACAATTGGTGACATGGCTCAAAATCGTTCTCACTGGCGCAGATGCATCCACTCCTTGTGACTCATGATTTCCAATGAAACTGTTTTGTTCTTCGTTATTACTATTCCTTTGTCTCACACCTCTGTTTACTGACTATATTATGCATTTTTTCTACTTTCTTCTCTTGCTTTGTGTGCTACATGGAGTGTGGCGACTTGAACTGCCGCACATCAGTGCAAAGTTCTATGTCGAAAACCGACCGACCGACCGACCCATATTATGTAGTACTATAGGGTAATTAATGTCAAGTTGAGGGGAACTCAGCCAACGAGGTTGTGAAGTTGCATCGATTGAGATAGTTAGGACATGTGTTGTTACGCATGACTAGACATCACCTTCTTCGACGAGTAATGTAAGCTGATGTAGGGTCAGATTGGAAAAGAGCTAGTAGTGGTCAAACCAAAAAAATGCCTTTATCATTCAATGAAATCGATAACTGTTAGTTTGAGCCAGCCATGTAAGGGGGGGTGTGTGCAGACTGCCTGAATGGCTTAGTTGGGATCCTCGGAATGGTAAGAAATAATGAAAACTGGAGACAATTGGTAGTGATATGGCTCAAAATCGTTCTCAGTGATGGTGCAGACTCATTCACTGTTTGTGATTTATCAAATCCAGTAAAATTCTATTGTTCCTCTATGTTAACATTCTTTTTCCCTCACCCACAATTCTGTTTATTATCTCTATTTTGATGAATCTTTCCTTACTCTCTTCTCTTGTTTTGTGTGCTAAATGGAGGGAGTGTGGCAACTCAAACTGTTGCACATCTGTGCAAAGTTCTACGTTGAAACCAGTCAATCAATGAAAATAAGAAGAGAGAGGGTCATTTACTTAGTATCTCGCAGTAAGTTAGTATAGTCATGCCTTACACTTTACTTATCACATCAAATACGTGCCAAATAAGGAATTGTAGAGTGTTTAAACTTGATCCTCTGAGCGTATAGTCTTCTATAGTTGCTTCTGTTTTCCCTACCTCATGAGATGCAAGGAGAGAGTTCTGTATAGACAGGCTGCTCAGAGTCTGATAAGATAATATTTGCTAATTTGCTGCACGAGTCCATATATATCTATCTACAACACTAATAGCGAGTTAGTTTAGCAACACCCCACTGACCCTACTGACGGCTTCTAGTGCCCTTCGCAATATAACAAAGTCTTTATAAAGTAACCCAGAAAAGATTAAGATGGAGGAGTAGTAGTAAAGAAGGTTAGCTAGAATGTTGCAAGAATTAACAAACTTAGAAAGTAGAGACTGAGTGATACCGGGATGAACGAATTTGCTAGGAGGTCTAATGAGAAGTGGTGACCAGTGGGATCTACACCAAGTCAGTGAGTGTAAGAACGAATAATCGCTGATGACATTGTTTGGCGGTCACGCTACATGTCGGAAATTGGCAGAAATTAGAATTCGTCGCAGTGGCTGAATAGTCAACGATCTCGCCTGGTAAACTGAAGGCCCTGTGGAGTCATAGATGCGTACTGATGAAGACTCCCAAGCATGGACGAAACAGTTTTCCAGTACTTCCTGACGATTTTCAATGGTTCTCTAACTGATATTAATCCGTGATCATATTTGAAACTAATATTACTGTGAGATGGCATTATTTCATAGTTCTCGTCCTATCACATAACAACCAAGTAGGCTGGTGGCTCAGCAGTTAGGATGCTCGCCCACCATGCACACGGTCCGGGGTTTGACCCCTGGCCGACGCACACCTGACTGATATCAA